TGCCAGGGGTACACTTATTTAAAAAGGTTGAAAACCCCTGGAAAAGGGAATAAAAATAAAGATATATTAGGTAGAAACTAACATATTTACATATGACACAAATTGTCGGTGCTTAGAAATATATTGCGTTAGCTTTATTTGTGTTAAAAAATAAAAACATTCCTTCTGACAATCCTTAGGCATGCTGAAGGCATATAGACTTACAGCTTTCATTCCTAAATAGTGCTTTCACTGCAGAGGAAATAATTGAATTATATAACTGTAGAGGGAATTATTGCCTCTGCAGGAAAGGTTCTACGTAAAAACAAGTAAAAGTTTTAAAATGTGTAGACAGTACAAGTGAACATACTGTATTTTCTTTAAACTGTCAATTGCAGATTTCTAGGCTTTGGCTGTTTGCCCTACCAACCCATGCAGCTTCCAGTCTCTGGGTGTGGTAAATATGTTTCATGAGTACCTGTTTCATAGTTCACAGAAACAGCTGCACAGAGTTAAGACAGTAGTAGTATGAAACCGGTCTTGTTGGTTTTTATTCACTGGCCCTGGAGATCAAAATCTGCATTCCAGATGAAAGCTGCAGCAGACAGAGCTTGATTTTATTTTTTTAAAGCTTCAAGGATACTCAGTCGAGTTTCCTCTGGCCAGCTAATAATTCAGAACACTGCAGGAATTCACTGAAGTCTTATGTTTTCGGGGGCAAGGAGGGTGTCTCTGAAGTTTTGCTTTGTTTGGATTTTTTATTTTACCAATTGTGGTATTCTGATGGATTTGCTTAAGAAGGTCTTAAAGTAGTAAAGGTTACACAAAGGAATCTTTCAGGAATTTTTTTTTGCTGACAAATGTTCACAACTCTTTTCTTGTATAAGGAAGTAACAAACTGTAAATGCCAACCGTTCTGTTCCTTGTTTTTACAGTTGCTCTGCACTCTTTAGGGAGTAGGAAGTTGTGTGTAGCCAGTAGGATTGCAGGAACTGAGGCAGTAATCATTGGTTGAGTTTTCAACTGTGATTTGAATGCTGGCATATTTGTCGTGACAGAAAGCCCTTTCTGTTAAGAAGCAAGTACAGGAGTTTCTGAGAACTTTTGTATGCTGTGCATCAAGATGCAGAATTTCTCTTGGATTGAAGTTGTAAATTATGACAGGCACTTTCAGTTCCTACTACAGCACTGAAAACCGGAAGAAGAGGTAGTGTGACCTGTGGGAGACCAGCTTCCCTCATGATGCAAAGAGAAGAGCTCCTGTTGCATTTCCTGTCGTAAGTTAATAGACTGAATGAATGTAGTAAATATTTGAGTAAAGCGAGCAAATATCAATTACAGTTTGTACTGTGCTTTACTGAATATGGAAGAAAATAATACTTTACCTGACTGCAGTGAGTATTTGGAACAAGATAATGAAACAGAGAGCAAATCCAGCCAGACTCTCCTCACTACATTTTCTATGAAAGCGCTTTTTGGATTTACTTCTAAATTGGAATCTACAGCCTCAAAAGAAGACACAGTCCTTACTGCATTTCGCCCTTTGGATGCCAATGCAAAAGCCCAAGCTGACAACCAAAATATGAAGATTAATGATGACGATGCAGAAATTCATCATATATTTCCCAAAATACAGCAGGCTGACCCAGAGGTCACCGGCCAGATGAACCTGGAGCTGGAGCTAGTGGAACAGAAAGAACTACCTTTTCCTCATTTAGAGTCTGCACAGCCTCTTTTGTCTGCATCTGACAGAGAAGACAAGGATTCCATTCTTGTGCAAGGTACTTTAGTTCATATAAAAAGTGACACCGAATCAGACAATGAGAGCACAGACCTAGACAGTGAGGCAAGAGAAACAAACAAATCTGTGTTCAATAATGTTGCTTTGTCTGCTCAGTTTTTGGAAAATAACAAACAGTGTAAGGAAGAGTCAGAATCAGACAGGCGCAGCGAAAGTGAAGGTGCTGTGGATGGAGATGCAATTGAGTCAGTATCATCGCCTCCTAAGCAGCTTTCAACAGGGTCAGGGGATGCTTCGGAATATGGCTCTGTTCCAGAAGACATTATGTTAGCAGATGAGCCTTCCAGTGGCTCACCTGCCACAGGGGAGAGCCCTCGAGAACCTGGAGGTGGTGAAGAGCAAGGGTCTTCCATGAATAACATATCTCCTCAGAAAACAGCAGTGGGTGAAAAGTCTTTTCAGCTTCCAGCTTTCTTTAGTGGGTTGCGCGTGCGGAAAAAAGGACAAACTGCTGAAGAGAGAGAAACTGTCACTGAAATTAAACAACGAGACAGTGATTTGGCTTTGCTTAAATTAAGACAGCCTGTTAAGAAAGCCAATATTACATCAGACCTGTTTGCTAAAAAGAAATCAGCTGAACCTAAAACAAATCCTAATATCCTGGAACAGCTCTCACATCTGTTCAAAATTGATGGTACCAAAACTGAAGATACAGCAGAAGATTCTGGTGAGGCAAGTAGTGAGACCGAGGACAGCGAGGGAGGCCCAGAGAGCAAATCCTCAAGCCAAGAACCTCAGTCACCTTTTGAAGAAACAAAACTGGGCCCGGCTGAGTCTGCATTGGATGTATTTAAGGCTCTGTTTATGCAGCCTCCAAAAAAGGAGACAACTGCAGACACTTCAGAGCTAGAAGCCATAAAACAAAAAATGAGACATGAAAAGGAGTCATTGAAAGCTGTATTTGAACGGTCAATATCAAAGCCTGGAGATGGAACATCTGAGCAAAAATCTGTAGGTTGGATTATCTTTATTCTAATATAGTGTCTAGAGGTAGATAGATGTGAAATTTGTTCCGATTGTAAACTGATGAACTCTTATAATTAAGGCACCAGTAAATAATTATTTCAAAATTGGCCTTCATCTTTTGGGAGCCTCAGATTTTGGGTGCCTAACTCAAAACACTTTGAGACAGAATTTTTAGAAGCATTGAGAATGTAAAGTCTTTAGGAGCTGCAGATGATTGTCCCCATGCCCAAGATGAATTCTCTCAAAATATGGTAACTGTGAAATAAGGCTTAAATTCACTCTCTGTGTGCCTGATGCCACAGACAATGAATTACAGATATTTTTGGTGCGGTACCTAAGATTTTAAGTTATTGCATCTGTCTATTGTCTAGTGAGAGAGAATATGCTATTGTGTAAGTATTC